CCTCTATTATTGGATGATTTTGTAGGTGTGTACAAATGATTTTTAGGAGCGTACAGTCAATGGGGGGCAGAAAGAGGGGGTACTCACGGAATTAAAAAGACCCGGATTTAAAAGCATTATTGTAATATTTTGTGTCTAATTATGATTTATCGGGAAATTGGTTGAGATTTTTGAAATAATTCTTTGAGCCTTTCATTCACTAAATAGTGATTAAAAGGCATTTAAATGTAATAATGAACACAAAATTGAGTCCAAACACAACAAAACAGTTAATATTCATGGTTTGCAATATTATTTGCATCTAATAATCGAGAAGTTGTCATATGTTTAACAAATTAACAATTCAATTATGATTTGAAACATTGTAATATTTAGCTTTACTGTTATACTAATTTTTAAACAACAAATATATTCATTTCATACAATTCCTTGTGTTTCCCATATGAAGGCGGCTTTTTCTAATGTAATCAAGTACATTTTGTACATATGACTAGGAACAATTTGGTATATTCATTGTTGAAAATGAATTAATTGTACTAACTGCAATTGTTGGTAATTAAAAAGTGCACTGTATTGTACATTGTGTTCATTTGATGCTCATTAATTATTCAGATTCTAAACTTTAGCATGGTCATTTTGAGATAATTCTCATACAAGTATCACGGTCATATTCAAATTATATTCAAATTATTCTACGTTTGTCATTTTGGTACATAAAACGCTACAATTAACCAAGTAGATTTGTGGTATACTCTAGAGACCTTGCGTGTATAAAGTTTAAATGACGAAAAAGCACCTATATCCATTTGATGATTTTGTGTTGTATTAAAGTATTATGCAATCAAAGAATTATCAAACAATTGAAAGTACACATCAGTCTTACGATTAAGTATTCATAAACACTGTATACATATAAAAGGGTTGTGGGGTTTGTACTGTAAATGTAGTCAATGTGTGCTCACGAGTGAGTATTAAACCATATAAACCACAAAAGGGGACCATTTATTGCAAACAAACTATACGTTTGTTATGAACTCATAATCAGTGAAACGTTTAGTTTTCACAAGTGTTTTGGTTTTGAACCAAAAAACACCACTTTTTGATTGCATTTAAGTTGTATTTAATTTAATTATATTTAATGTAAATACTATTTGAATCATGAAATACACTGAACTGTATTTGAGTTCATTAATTGTAGTGATTGTAAGCATTGATTAGCAAACTGTACACTAATGGTGGCTCAGGTGTGGGCCGGCTATCGGTGTTCACTATAACGGGTGACCAAACATTTAATGCCATTTTAATTGTCGTCTAAATGCAGACCCGAATCGTGTCGGCCATTGAGCTATCGGTGGACGAGTGTCTGGCCATTGGATACCGAAAGTCGGATCTGTCGTGTCTTTCGTGCGAAGAACTGACAAAATTTGATTTGTTTTCACTGAAAGACTCGTGTCTTAAATGCTGTTCAAAGGACGCGACCGAAGAGGGCGTCAAAGTAATGATAAGACAATTTGTTTTGTCGGTTATATTCACAGACTTTAATCCAATTGTCTTTTGTCTGTCATTAGAAGTACGCTTCGGCCCGACTCGAGGTCTGCGGATGAAAAGTAGGACACTTTCCACAGATTAATGGTATTATAGATAATTGTCTTAAGAGTGAGCGACCATTGAATTAATTGTCTGTTTGTTTTGTGTCCACAAAGCGTTCATAAGAGGCGATAAAAGCAAGAAATTCCCGAATTTGTCCGTTAAGTACATGAGAGGCGCGGATCCAGTGATCAAGTTGTTGGACGCCGCGGGCGAGGAAGTGGATGAGTTAAACATCCAGAAGTGGGACACAGACACTATCGACGAGTTTCTTGAGCAACATTTAGCCGATTAGATGTGAATGCATTGATTTGAATGGAAAGCTATTCTTTCGCAATACATGTCTATCACTGTTGATGACAACGAGTCTAAACAAATCCATTCTTCTGTGGAATTGATTCGTTCGATGGATATGTCATGTATTGATTGTTTCGATTCATAATTTAAATAAACTATTTTTTATTGAAATCAATTTTGAATTAATGTTACGATAAATTGTTTGGACACAAAAACCTGAACCTCGATATGCAATCCAATGACTACATTATTTGACTCGTTATGAACACTGCATTTCTGCACTAACTGTAGTGTCATTTATGTAGACATTAATACGGCACAAGATATCCATTTTATGGTCAATCATTTTACGAAAACGATACCTAAATAAACTTATGGTGAAATTTGTGACAACAAATATTCATAGATTAATATAAAATATGTAGTAATGAAGACAACAAAATGCAGTAAAAGTATAAATTTTTATTTTTTGAATCCGAAATACAAACGACACAAATAGAGAGATAAAAGTGCAAATAAAATGGGTTCCTCTGCCCAACGGTTGGCCTCTCAATGGCCAGCCGTCGTCTCTTCCACTTCCAGTAAGGGTTCGCTCGCATTCAACGACGCCTTCGTCTTGGATGACGAGTGAAACGTATAGTTATATCCGTCGATATCTCCGGCAACGCAACCATTACTATGTTTGCCATTTATCTCGTTATTGTTGTACTCTTTGCCATTGTTGTGGTTGTGATCGTGTGGTTTATGGCCGCCGTTCGCCACACCATTAGGTGACTCAACAGTGATGTCACACTTGGAAACGGAAGTGGTCCACTCGTTGGTCTCCAAATCCAAGAATTCAATGGTGTTGAGGAATATTTTGCCATTAAAACCACCGACAGCTGCGAACGTGATATACAAAACAATTGAAAACAAACTGAATATTAATTAAAAATGAATCGTTTAATACCGTAAAGTCGTTTATCAACGACAGTGACGCCAACATTAGCCCTACAGCTGGTGAGCGGTGGTCCCGAAGCCCACTGATCGGTGGTCGGGTCATACACTTCCACAGAGCAGAGGGCGTGAACGCCGTCGTGACCACCGATGGCGTAGATTTTGCCATTGAATGCGATGACACCACAACCCCGTCGGGCTGTGTGTAAGGGTGCGATCGATTGCCATCCATTGCTTGTGTAGACTTCAGCGCTGTTCAGACACGTCCACGAATCGCAACCGCCGACAGCGTAGATGCTATGGTCGAGAACAGCGACACCCGTTTGATAACGACCTGATTTCACGGCAAAACATAACGTTAAAAACAAATGTTCGTCGAAATGACATTCAAATATCGCGTACCCGTAATGAGTGGTTTGATTTCAATCCATTGTTGTGTCTTCGGGTTATAGACGTCACATCTGGTGAGACCTCTTTGGCCATTCCAGCCGCCAATTACATAGACCTGTCCGTCAAGACTACAAACACCTGTAAAATGATTAACAATTATCAGAGGGTTTTCGGCAAAGAGCGCGCATTTGCCTTAATTTAATAGCAAATAATATCATTTGTAATGTTTTTAATCAGTGGTAATGTAAGGGTTGGCACCAAAATGTATGTCATTTCAAGTCCATTTGTGGACCTATTTGTAAGTCATACTCACAGTCCGACGAGTGGGACGTTGTGTTCACTTAAGAGGATCACAAATTACAAGACAATGCAATTCGGAATATATTATAAGGACAGACAGAGTGGACAAAACAGCTCTTATTATATATTATAGATAAAGGTATAGGAAATGGATTGTTAAGTGTAAGTCGGGATCACATAATATGAGTGAACGGTTGAGATGTTGTAAAAGATATTCATCACTGATAAGAGGGGCTTATGTATGAGATAACACACACATACCTCTTAAGTCCATTATTTAACCTGAAATCATAGAACAAACGGAAACATATCATTATATTCTTAAGTATTGTATATCTAATGAGAAAATGTATATAAAAAATAGTGAGAAGTTTTACAAAAGTATAAATAGTTTTATAATATAATAAAAAAGATTAAAATTAAAAACCGAATTCTCAAGTGTTGAACCGAAAACACCACAAGAGTGTCAATGACTGCAAAAACAGAAAACTGTGAAGATTTGTGGCAATATATAGACTCTATATTATAGAGGATAACCATTGGATGCCAACCACAATATACTCACCGCCGCAACACATTTATCATAACATTATATTGTTTTTCAACACATTTTTTCGGTAACATTTATTTTTCGAGATCTCTTACCGGCATTTGAACGCACGACCGGACAGTTGGGTATGTATTTCCACTCCTTAGTACTCGATTCGTACATTTCGGCCGAATTCAGTTCATTCTGTCCGTCACAGCCTTTAATGTGAGATTAGATTTAGAAACCAAAATAACCAATACTTTCATAAATCAAATCATACCTCCGATGGCGTACACATCGCCGTTAACTACAGTAATATCGAATCGACCTCTCGGGACAAGCATTGGATTCAATTTATACCACCTATTCTTGTTCTCGTCGTACACCTCAACCGTCTTCAGACACTCTCCTCTATCATATCCGCCTATAAATGAATGACAAATATTAGCCAAATATAGACTTCAAATTGACAGAAATCAAGTGAGAAAGACATACCGCAGACAAATAACTTTCCGTCAAACATAGCGGTTCCGACCGCACATCGGGCCGAACTCATTGGCGGAATCAGACAATACAATTCGGGCTTTTCCAGGGAATGGTGTCGCGAAGCGTTTGGCGAATTCATTGGTGAATTAATTCTCAATTTGACGGTCAAAACAAGCAGTTTTCCCGAAACAATAATCAGACCAATGAGTGTGTGTTTACCAGAAAAACAAACGGAAAGAACTTTCCAATCGTTTTCATTGTCGTCGTCGGCGAGCGATGACAGCGAAGACTCGGAGTCGGAACGAGTGAACATGAATTGACGGGATTTTGCCGGCAGAGAACCGTTGCCGGCCTTCTGGTGGTTGCCGTTCTGTCCGTTGGCCTTCTTTGAGGCGCTGCCGTCTTTGGCCGGATAGGAGAGACGCCGTGATTCGCGTTTGTAGTCCTGAATGAGATCCGAGTCATCGTTACCTCCGTTTTCAATCTCATTGCAATCGTGAAGGCATTTATCGGATTTGTTAATGAATAACATATACATCTT